GTGGAAATAATTGCTTAATAAAGAATGTTATAAAGGTAATTTGAAGGCCACTGTGAAAAACTTCGCAATAAATGGGACATGGTCAAGTCTCTCTAAATAGTATTTTCTCTGGATGGTGACATTGTGGTTATTAATGCTGTGTCTGTCATCAAAATGTCTGAATGTTACATGGAGGCTGCTAGACCGTATTTCAGGAAGGACCTACAGGGATTCTGGCACTGGGACAGTAAACTACTGAAAAACAAATGCTAAGGAACTGCAAAGATATCGTAGGAATCTAGGAAATGGTTTTCTTCTGTTTTTCTCTTGCTTCACAGCATCCTCCTTCCATCTAGCTTCTTCCCTGTCTTTTCAGGGAGCCCATCTGAGATATGAATAGAGGAGGCTAACCCATCTGAGTAATGAATAGAGGAGGCTAACCTATCTGAGATATGAATAGAGGAGAATGGCCCATCTAAGGTATGAATAGAGGAGAATGGCCCATCTGAGATATGAATAGAGGAGGATAGCCCCTCTGAGATATGAATAGAGGTGGAGAGTCCATCTAAAGTGTGAATAGAGGAGGCTAGCCTAACTGAGATATTAATAGAGGGAAGTCTAAGAACACAGATCTGAAAGAGAAATATTTGGGGTCATTGTTGTTATACAACATTCTTACAATTAAGCTGTTTTTAAAAACTGCCTCTATTTTATTTTGTTTAAAAAATATAATACTTTTACTAATTCTTTGACTCATATGATACCCCCACAAGCTCACAACTTCTCAATACTAGAAATCAAAGAAAATGAGATCAATAAAAAGAGATTTCAGGGTCAGACTTTTTTAAAAAGGTCAATTACCCAGAATGACTGGATCAGATTAATGAGGAGAGGAAATCAGTTCAGGACCTAGACAAGAAAGTTATCAAAGTGGATGAAGTAGTCAGCAATTCAGAGGAGAAACTGAACACCACAGAGGGGAAACTTCAGCTTCCAAGTGAGGAACACTGCCTTTAAACAGCAGTCATGTGGTTAACAAGGCTGAGTGACTTTAGCTGGGGAGGAGCACCGGCCCATCACAGACTTTCATTTCCCATCACAACCTACACCTTTTCCCTCAGTGCCTAGACAGCAACATTGACTGGCAGGAGTCACTTCCTTATGTGTGAAGAAAACACATCTTTGTTATCAATGTGTCAGCCATGGAAAACAACAGTGTTGTTTTCTTGCAGGAAGTAGAGGAGTGAGGTCAGGAACATGGGGTAAGAAGTGTTAGGAAGGATATTTTATCTTAGCTGCATATTGGTGGGAAAGTTCTTATTTTCTGTGACTTGCCCTCTTGTCTGTGTCTTTTGCATAATATGGACAGCTTAACCATGTGTCATATTTTCTAGAATGTCTGTCTCCACTAGGTGGCAGACAGTGGTCATCACTTTGGGCAGGTGTACAGGACTGCTACTAAACTGGAGAGGAGGAACTTGCAAATAAAACAGGGCCTCATGCTGGGAGCTGATGGTCAGCCCAGTCGTTACTGGGACAATAATGCAACCAGGGCTTAACAGTAATGTCGTTAAATAAGCACGCAATGTCATTTACTACGATGGGAGCAATTTATAAGGAATTAAGCTTTTTCTGTCCAAAAGCATATTTAAATACATGTTAAAGCTATTACAGATTGACTCTGACTATATATACATGTATGGGTTTTTTTTTGTGTGTATGTAATGAATATATAAGGGTGTAAAAAGGTCATATAATATCATAGATATGGTGACTATATAGGGATATTGTGATGATTAGCTTAACTGTCACCTTGACACAGCTTAGATCACCTGGGAAGAGAGTCTCAATAAAGGATTGCCTAGATCAGGTTGGCATTCTAGACAGTTTGTGGGGGGGCACTATCTTCATTGTCTGATTGAGTAGGAAGACCCAGCCTGAGAGTGGGTGCCGCCACGCTCTGGTTTGAGACCCTGGACCGTGTAAGAGTAAAGCTAGCTGAGCACTAAACATGCACGCATTCATTTCTCTCTGCTCTTGACTGTGGATACCAGTTGACTCGCTACTTCAAGATCTTGCCGCTGTGATTTCCTTACAGTGATGGGCTGTAACCTAGGATGGGAAGCCAAAGCAGACCTTTCTCCCCAAAGCTGCTTTTTGTCAGGCTACTTGACCACAGCAACAGACAGGGAACTAGCGCGGTTATGCAGGAACAAATACTTTGAAATATTATTCAGAAACTGGGATCATAAATCAGAAAGTGTAGACGTATAGGAAAATCATGAGCCAATCAGCTAACCAATATTCACTGCACTGGCGCTTTTTTTTTTTTTTTTCTGTTTTAAATGAGCCTCTAAACTCAGGTCCTCATGCTTGCAAGACAAGCACTTGGCTGACGTCGTCATCTTCCCAGTCCCATGAGGACTGCTTTGGTCTTTGGGATATGTAGAAACATATCCCTATATAAAATGCTTCTCTCTTCTCAGACGTACAAAGGGCAAGCTTCAAGGTAGGGCACCAAGTGAGTATTCCGACGGCAGTAGGCCAAATGACAGATGTTCGTGTCCTCAATTCCAGAAACTGTGAGTATGTTCTTTACACGGTGAAAGGGACTTCGTAGGTGTCAAGGTTAAGTCAAGGATCTTGAGATGAGATCTGAGTTATTGGGGTTACTCCAATGATCACAAGGGTCCCTACAAGAGAGAGAAAGGGGGAGGGAGAGGGAGGGTGAGAGAGACAAGAGACAGAGAGAGCAGAAAGGAGATGTGAGGAGAAAGCAGAGTGTGGAGAGATGTGGGGCTGCAGCAGCTGGAGAAGCAGGCAAAGGATTCTGCCCTGCAGCTTACAGGGACAGTGTAAGACAACACATTTGTGCTGTGTTAAGTACCTAAGTTCATGGTTTGTTGTACCAATAATAACACAGAGGAAGTTCTTTGTCTTCTGTTACTGATAAGTGCATCATTGCACATAACAAAATCGATCATACCTATTCCTGTGCTGTGATTACAAGATCATCATTGAAAGACCTTTCTTTCTGTCTGTATGTTGGGGGTTGAAACCAGGGCCTGAGGTATGCTAAGCATGTGCTCTCCTACTGAGCTGTGTGTTACTGAGCTCAGCTGTGCAGGGCTTTCAGACTGTTTTTTTTTTTGCTTGTTTTGGTGTGTGTGTGTGTGTGTGTGTGTGTGTGTGTGTGTGTGTGTGTGTGTATTTGTGTGTGTGTTTTGCCCAGTGATATGCCCAGTGACAATTTCTTTTGCTATGCTCAGTGGCCTTGAGAATTTAGTGACTCTGAAAGATTTGGAATCTGCTAGAGCACAGACCAACTATGCAGTAAAAGTACAGCAGCCTCACGAGGAATTGAGAATTCCGCAGCTGTTCTACAGACAATCTTGGATTTATTAAATCCCAGCTCTACTGTTTATAGCTCTGTCCTTTTGGGGAAGTTGTTGCATTTCTCTGAAGCTGTATTTTTTTTTTCTGTGCTATGCAGATTATCTTCAGGAGCAAATAAGGTAAGGCATGGAAAACACTTAGCATTATGCTGGCATGTAGTCCATAAGTGGTCTTTCCCTTTTGTGGTCATGAAGTTACATTAGACATGCTCTTGACAGAAGGGAGATGTGTACTAGTATTCCTATGGCAATGGTGGCAAAACTTTGAAAAATATTTAAACAAGAGAAGCTAGTCGGGCACAATGGCACACATCTGTAACCCCACCATAGGGTAGGCTATGGCAGGAAGGTCATGAGTTTGAGATCAGTCTGGGATACATAGCAATAATTTGTCTCAAAGGAGATAGAAATCAATAGAGATAAGATAGATAGATGGTAGACAGATAGACGGATGGATAGATAGATAGATAGATAGATAGATAGATAGATAGATAGATAGATGATAGATTGCATTACAAGGTTAAATCAGAGGGCAATCAGTAGCAGAATAGAGAAGTGACCATGGATAATAGGACCTCAGAGGCCAGCATTCTCCTTTGATATACATGCCATGTGTAGTTGGTAGAAGAAGCTAAGAAATACTATTATTCTTTATTTCCAACTTCTCACAGTGCTGAGGAATCAAACCCAAGGCCAAACAATACTAGCAAACACTTGACCTTCATCTAAATCCCCAGCTCTTTACTTGATATTTCTGGTAAGGCCACTAAAAGTAAAAACAGATATTATGATAGAGAAAATGTAAAAAGTGGCCACACACACACACACACACACACACATCAGCACTTTTCTGTTGTTGTGATGAAATACCATAATGACAGACAACTCAAGGAAGACAGAGTTTATTTTGGTTTAGAATTCCGGATGGATTAGAATCTGTCACAGCAGGAAGGCAGGGCAGCCAGTAATGGGAATAGAGGCAGGAGCAAGAAATGGAGAAATTCTATCTTTGGCCACAAGTGTGAAACAGAGGGCAAACTGGAAGTGGGGTGAGGGTATAAAACCTCAGAGCCCCCCTCCACTGATGTGCTTCCTCCAGCAAGGCCAGACTTCCATAAACTGTTACCAAGTGGGAAAAAGATTCAAATACATGAGCCTAGAGGGGACATTTATCATTCAAACCGCCACAACATCCAAACACATACCTGCACATACATATATACATACTCAGACACACACTATTACACATACAAACACCGAGCCCCTGGAAAAATATCACACATACCAGGAAGACACCTTTCTCTTCCCTCCAGGCTCCATTTCTGAGGAATATTCTAGAATTTAGAACTAACCCAAATGATAGGTGGGAAGATAATGAATTCTAAGTTGAGGAAAAAAAATAATGATTTGCTTCTTTGAAAAATGCAACATATATATGTAAATGGAATTATTTTCAGCCATAAAAAGGAATGATGTTGTGTCATCTTCTAGAAACTGCACATAATCGTATTAGGAAAATTAAGTCATTCTCAGAAAGAAAAAGAGCACATTTCCTCTCATTTGTGGCTCTTAGATGTTTATTTTATTTTATTTATTTTATTCAGTATGTGTGCCTGAGTGCCTGCATGTGCATCATGGGCCTGTGGAAGTCAGAAGGGGGCATTGGATGCCCTGGGACTGGAATTACAGATGACGAGTCACCATGAATGTGCAGGAAACAAAACCCAGGTCTTCTGAAAGATCAGTAAGTATCTTAACTGCTGAGCCATCTCCCCAGCCCCGGGATCCTAGATTTTTTACCAACAGATAAAATCAAGAATGTGCAGGTAGCAGGAAAGTAGAAGTAAAATTGTCTACAGGAACAAAGGGGACTAATCTAGAAGAGGTGAAATGGAAAGGGTGGTGGAGTGTGGGGGAAATGTCCTCGAAGTGCATTATATACTTGCATGAATATGGCCTTATGCAACCCTGTGTAATACCAGAAAAAGAATTCTAAAACAAAACATAACAGAGGTATTCAAAGGTTATCATCAACTGGCAAGAGTCATGGTTGTTCTCATCAGACAGCCAGGAGATTCAGGAAGAGAGAGGATGGCATTATTTGCTCAGCAAGTCTGTACCCATGTGTTTGGTACCTGTTGCACATGTTGCATGCCACAGAGGCTCCCTTTCTGCCAGCCAGGCAGCCTGCCCATCAGCATTTCCAGAGAACCCAGCAACGCTGCCAAGTCAGGTACTGGTTTCAGCTGGTGTGATATATCTCTCAGCACCACCCACAAAACCCACACTCTATGGGAGCCAGAACCCTTCCAGAGACACGTCTGTGTTGGCAGGGGAAGCTCCCTGGAACTCTCCCAACATCTGCCTGGGACACATCTGCCAGCTCTTCAGGTTGAAAACACTCTCTGGGGATTGCCTTCAGGTGCTGCTGGGTCTTCTGACTTCAGTCTTTAGTGTCACAGAAAGTACCAGGTGGGTGACAGGTACGTGGAGGTAAGGGAGAGAGAACACGTGTCTTATCCCATCTGTGTTTTAAAAAATCCTGTGTGTTATGTCAAGTGAGAATTCCCAGTCAACTGTAAGAGCTCTTCTCCAGAGTACCAGTGTTGCTCTGGGCATCTGTGTCGATTACTTTTGCCATTGTTGTGACCAAATACCTTAAAAGAAACAACTTCAGGGAGAAGAGTTTATTTTGGCTATGACTCAAGGGACATAGTCCATCATGGCAGGGGAGGGAAGTGAGGAAGCTGGTCACATGGCCTCCATAGTCAGGTAGCATACACAGAGAGACAAACATTGATGTTCAGCTTTCTTTCCTCTTTTATTCAGCCCAGGCCCCCAGGCAGCCCATAGGATGGTGCTACCCACAGTTAGGATGCGTCTTTCCATCTTAATGAACCTAGAAATTTCGTCTAGAAAATGCCCACAGATACACTCAGAGACTTGTCTTCTTGGTGATTCCAGAGACTGTAAAGATGACAATACTGTCACTGCATCATTTTAAAAGAAAATTAAAATGACTCTGTTTTTGATTACAAGATTTTTGATGATCAATGTATGTTTCTGTAGGGACAAATAGTTGCTCAACTGACAAATGTTTCTACCGAATTACTAGCCTGGCTTTGAATTCCACATGAACGCAGACAGTGAGCAAACATGGTAGCTGGTTCTATTCAGACAGTGCCAGACAATGAAACACCTGCTCTGATTGTTGTTGTTGTTGTTCGCCTTTGGAAAACAAGGCAAAAAGTAACATCAGCTGACCCTTCTGATGTCTTCAGGAATCTATTAAAATGTACTGCGACAATCCAGGCGTGGGGGCACACTTCTGTACACCTGGTATTGGGGAAGTTAAGGTCAAAAAGTCAAGAGTTCAAGGCCAGCCTGTCTCAAAAGGCCAAAGGCTGGGCATGTTAGCTTAGTGGTTGAGCACATATGTCTAATATGTGCAAAGCCTCAGCTTCAATCCCTACAATGTGGTCTTAACCCTGTATTTTATAAAACTTAAACTTTTTTTAAGGGAGAGAAACTTTTAAGTGAGGATTGCTGGGATGTAGTGGGTAGCCATTCCAGCTTTGATCTGGAAGTCAAAGCTGGAATGGCTACCCACTACATCACACTGGAGAGGGTTGTAGGTATCTTTGAGTAGAATTTGAATAGAGGGTCCTTGAAGAAATAAGAGTTGGGAGTGAAAAAAAAGGTGTAATGGCAGAAAAATGGGTGAAAACAGGACTCTCCACACATCGTATGATGCTGGCAGCCACTAAGCCCTCAATGATTCTCTGCCTTTGCCTCCAAAAGCACGGGGACTACAAGTGACCATGTGATTGTCCCTGGATTTTTCCATGGGTGCTCGGTATTTGGACTTGGATCCTCAAAGTTCACAGAAAGCTCTTTTACCATCTTCCTAGCTCCTGATTTAGATTTCATTTATTCATTTTATTAGTGTATATTTATTGTGCATGATGATGAGTTTCAAAAAGACCGTTTATTTCAAGTATATCATATAGTTTCATCATTTACCCTCTCATACCCTCACACCTTCTTCATCTCCTTTGCTCTTTCCCCCCTCTGTTGGCCTCTTTCCTTACCCTTGTCTCCTTTTTCCTTTCATAGTATTAGAGGACATATATGTGTGGGGACACCTTAGCCCTCATTCAAATATGTCTCATTTGAGGGGCAGTTCAATCCCCCCATTCTTACGCATGAAGCCAACATCTGTCAACTGTCTTGGAAAATTTCACTGGGTCTTATTTTTATTATACTTACAAACACCCCCCAGAGGCCCAGGTGTGACATAGAGCAATAGAATATTGCAAATTACAAACGTGGGTGATCCGTTTTAAATGAGGTTACCTCCTGATACACCTGTAGTGAGTTGAAAACATTTACATGAAAGTTCATTTAATATGCCTAATATTGACCATCATGGCCTATCCTATCATGACCATGCTTATAACAAACATTTCCATTAGCCTATAGTCTGCAAAATCATCTAATCAAGCATCTATTTTTATAATGAAGCATTGAGTATCTCACACATATAGGTGGGTATTTTGTTGACACAATGGTATACTAAACACAAAATACAATATCCCAAAATACTTCCAATGTACCATACTCGAGCCGTGTATCCAGCCTTTTGCACTGAAACACAGTCATTTTCAAAAATTCATGTTCATGAGCCATTCGATTGGGTTTTAAAAATCAAAAAGATATTTCATAATGTTTTAATTAAGCTTACACTTTTATGTTGGGCTGCATTCATAGCCATCCTCAGCTATAGGTTGGACATACCTACTAGAGTGTTGGTTGTGTATGCACACAGTTCCCTGGTTGCTCTGAATCTGCAGATGAAGAGTAGCTGTCCTGTATCATGGAATAGCATAGCAACTAATATTTCTGGTCTGGGGGAAAAAATAAAACAAATCCCCAAACTCAAAGTAAGGTCTCTCTCAGATGTGCATTGCTTTGGTCCACTATAAAGTCAATGGGTTGTAAGTGGACCATTATGAGCTGAGGCCCTGTAACAGACAGTTCAGAACTTCTACCAAGGCATGTAGCTAGCTAGAGGGCAAATGTGGACTGCAGCCCAGCCCTCTCCTCCCCTAGCACCCTGCCCCACCCATCTACCCCAGGTGTCTTATGTCTCATTCCACTCATCAATAGATTGTTTCAGTGAGAGCTGCATTTAGCACAGTGCTAAAAGTTGTAAAACATGCTTGTCTTCAAAGAATTTCTGATCACATCCAGAAACTGACTAAAACGTAAACTAGGTGCTGTGTCAGCACCCGAGTTCAGGGAAGAGGGCGAAACCGTAGTCTAAAGCAAGCAAAATACACTTCTTCATAGTGCTGCCGAGAAACTCAGCTAGTGAACATCTGATAAAAGGTAAAACATATGGATGGGAAAGTTGAGTACGATCCTGCCTAGCATGGCAGGATAAAAGGAGTGTGAGAGAGGAAGAAGATGGAGGTCTGTTCCAGCCCCCAAATAACAGCAACCATTACCCTCCCCTCCCCAATAACCTGATTTTGTCCATTGCCATGTGAACTCTCTGCTCAGATAGGCATTCCTCCCTTGCGGGGAACAGTGGAAGTGATTGCCAGGGATCTGGTTTTCTTCCTTAGTGATAACAGTGGCGGTGTAAACAAGTTGTTTGTTACCAGGTTTCTATGTGCTCTCTGTGTAGAAATAGTGCCTGCTTTCTTCCTGCTGGTTGCTGCTTTTTAAATTGCTGGGTGATTAGGCTAATTAAATGATTAACGTTAATGACAAGGATCTTCCTTTTATTTATTTCACAGTAGCAGCAAGTTTGCTTGCTTGAACGCCTCTTAATTTCTCTGCTGAACAAGCAAAATTGCTCTAAGGGTAAGTGGGATGTTTTAAGAAGGAGTAGCAGCTTAAAGCAGAATACCCACTGTTGCCTTTGTTGTTGTTGTTAAGTGTATTCCTGGGTGCTTTGACCTAGCTACAATCTGTTGTGCTGATGCAGTTCTGTGATCTGATTCCCCCACCCAACCCCTGGCACCATGATACTTGCCATGTTTCTATAGATTTTATGATTATTATTGGTTGTCCAATGTTCCACAGGACATATGATGCTAGGGGTCGGGGGAGCCACTTCCCTGTTTTTGGGCACAGAAGCCCATTCATTCCTCACCTTATCTATTTAGATGGAATTGCCAGAGACATAGAATAAAGTCTTTATAGCAATTACCTTTTGCAAGATGGCCTAAATGCTTTAGCCCAGCTGCATTAGACATGTACAGGGTGAGTTGACTTCCCCTAGGTTCTAAAAGGTCAGGCATAGGCAGTGATCCTTCCTGGCAAGACAAGAACAGAAGCAACAATTTATAATCAAGATATATAACCTTCATTTCCAGGCTAACATCCACACAGGTCTAATTCTGCCTCTCTTTTCTGTTCCCCAATACTAGAATGGCATTAAAAGGGACAAGCAGCTCGTGTGCCGTAGACCAACAGTTGACATCCCTTACTTGTGACTCTAAGTATTGGGGGCCGGATACCAAGAGTAAGGTCGGGGTCCTGTCAACTTTAGGCCTCAGGTGAGTCTGGTGTGCTGATCCTCCATCTCTTGGCAACAAGGCTTAAGCAAGTCCATAAAGTGAAGGAAAAGTTGGGGATGATGGTGCTGGCAGCTACTGGCAGAGGAAAAGACTTGACCTAAAAGGAGTCTATTCACTGCATGCAGGACGGGAGGGCAAGACCGTGTTCAAGCGGGGCAAAGCAGAGTTTGCCTGGCTGTGCACACAGCTAGGGCAGGTCTGGAGCCCTTTCTTCCTGAGACCATGGGGACTCATTAGCTACTCTTGAGCTGGAGGCGGGCCTGGAGGTGGTGCCTGCAGGAAGCTGGCCTGCGGACAATTGTGGAGCCCAGGGGAGGCAAAGCTAGAGGTCAGGGATCACATGGTGAGTAGTGGGGGAACCAGGGACTGGGGGTAAGGGGGCTCCGAAGGGACGAGGAGGCGTGGCCTAGGGTACTGGCGTTGTGGGAGACTGCACTCAGACTGGCCTGGAGGGCATGAAGGGGGCGGAGACCTTGATGGGTGGGGCTTTGGTGGAGGCGGGGCTGGATGGAGCGTGTGTCTTTCAGCTGCTGCAGCTCCTTCAGCACCCTGAAAATACCTCCCTGTCCCAGAGCTGTCGCGCGCTCAGGCCTCGCCATGCTCCTGCTGCTGGGGCTGTGCCTGGGGCTGCCCCTCTTCTCGGAGTCCCAGGAAGAGGCGCGGAGCTGGGATGACGCCTCGGAGCAAGTAAGTAGGAGAGCTGTGGGTACCGCGACTCTGTCCCTTCACTCTGTCTCCCTGGGCCGTGAGGCTTCTGGACGGGCTGGAATTGACCCGTGGGATGCAAGCAAGAGAGGCATCACCGCCCTCTGGTCTGCACCATCCCTTTTCCCAGTCGTCAGCAGGGGAGCTTTCCTTCTCGTCTTTTGGTCACTTGTGCTTCTTCTGAGTGGTTCTTAGCGCCTGCCCCATACCAGTTTGCCGCAGAGTTGTGCATGGAACTTCAAAGTCCTGCAGAATCAAGTGTTCTTGTTGACTCCCGCTGTCTACCAGATTCCTATCCGTCCTTGCAAATTTCTGAGACCGACTCCCGCCCAGCAGTTCGTTGCAAGTTTCCGTCTTAGACGTGTGAGGTGGTTAGCTGTTCGTGCTCACCCAGGGAGAAAAGAGCTGAACAAAAGTCATAAACTCCTGGAAACCTCAACTCTCTCCACCTAAACATGGGAGAACTCAGTTTTCCCTCCGGTTCTTACCAATTGTGATTAGTTCAAGCCAGCATCAAGAACAACAGCAGCTCAGGTAGTTTATGCACCTGTCAGCGTTGTGTTTTAATCAGTTTAACCTCACAGGTGACCACAAGCTGCCAATGAAAAGGTTCAGTCCAGGTCAGAAAAATTCTATAGAAAAGTTTCATAGAACTGGAAAAGTTCTATGAAAGCTATCAAACAGATTCCCCCTAACATCCCTGAGAAGATCCTGTAGAAGAAGGGACTGTCTCAGATGAAGTGAATCTTGATGTTGACTCAATCATTTAAAAGACGATTTGTTTAATTCAAAGCTTCTTTTTCACGGGATGAGGAAGTCATAAGCTGACACATTTCTTCCCAGCCTTTGTTTGGAAGATTGGACCTGGAAGATTGAATCCACGCCCTCATCAGTGGTTATTTTCATGAGGTGTCCACTATAAGAAGGTGTTTATCTGTAAGGTGGGAGATGTGGGGTTCCCTTTAGGGACTGTCAAGAGTAGCCAGGCCAGTCCCAAGAGCTTTTGTGGTGGTATAGGAAAACTGTAGTCTTTTGGTCCAGAGAGAGGCTGGTCCTCACTCTGCCCACTCTGCCACTTACAGCTGTGTGGCCTGGGCAAACTCTAGTTTTGAATGCAACAGTTTTTCTCTCATGCTGTTCTATGGAGCTTAGGGTTGGCCTGACACTTGCTAATAGCACAGGCTAGCTTTGAACTCGCAGTCTTGCAGCCTGAATCTTCCAAATGCTGGAATTACAGGTGTGCACCAGATCTGGTTTGTGATTTCTTTTGTGCAAACTAGTAAGGATTGAGCTAGTTTGTTAAGGACCTGGTATCCAGTAGGCACTCCATAAATGGGAGATATTTTAGTGGTTAATAGTTGGCTGCCTAGATTTGAATCCCAAGCTGCCAGCAGGGTTGGCACTTGACACAGCTTCTGTTGGAAGGCTTGTGCACTGGAATTGCTAAGGGAAGGAATTCAGGGTAAAGATCTTGAAACTTTGAGAGGGTGTAAAGGGAAAGGAGTGTGGGAAGAGCTGAAACAAAGAATCTTTCTGAGGACCAGAGATGGAGTCAAGCCATGCCATCTCCACAACTGCAAGTGAGCTTAACACTTTCCAAAGTTTCTTTCTTAGAAAAACATGGATTTGGCTCATTTTGGTGATTTCCTGTTGTCTTCAGTCCATGGCAATATTTTTCTTGAAAATGACTAAATCAGACAAAAATAAAATAAAAAAACTGCTACGGAAATTTGGACTTCTACATTCTATTCATACTGTATTTTAAATTTAGTGTGTGTGTGTGTGTGTGTGTGTGTGTGTGTGTGTGTGTGTGTGTGTGTGTGTGTGTTGCTGAGTATAAGAGACAGGCATAGGCTGAGGATGTGGCCCAGTGGTAGAATGCTTGCTTGCTTGGCCTCTGGGTTCCATCCCAAGAACTGAAGGACTCTGAAGAATTGATAGAGTAAACTCTGAGAACAGAATCTGAGGATGTAGTCATTGTTCTAGTCTTAATAATTATAACTTTGGAGCTGTGTGTAAAGTTAGTGTGTAAATGTAATGAGGGATCGGGGGAGACAGCTGGGCCAGAACAAAGCTTACTTACAAGCATGAGGGCCTGAGTTCAATCCCCAAACCCCACATAACAAACAAACAAACAAACAGAGACAGGCATGGTGGCCAACTTGTAATCCTAGCCACGGGGAGGTGGACACAGGCAGATCCCTGAGACTTGTGGCCCGATAGCATAACTTGCTCAGCAAGTTCCAGGCTGGTGACCCTATCTCAAAAACTGATGGGCAGTGCCTGAGGAATGTCACCCTTTCACACACATACAATGAATTACACACCACACACACACACACACACACACACACACACACACACACACACGTATGTAAATTTGCTATAAGTTATAATGCAACTGAGCATGTGTATCAACTTTCATAGCAGGTCTGCTCATTTACCTGTAACTAGAAAAAAAAATACGAGTTTCACTATAGATGTAGCATCTTCCAACCCCACCCTCCACTGCATCTGTCAATTATATGACCCTTAGTGGAGTGGCCACTAAAATCAGTGGTTTCCAACCGTCTCTGTGTACTTGGGAAGTTAAATATCAGAAAAGTGGCTTCCCGCCCATCATTGTTGCTCTATGGGAAGGGATGGGTCAGGTGTCAGGGGGGCCATAGTTTGAGTAAGGCTACCTTAAAAGAAGCTGCCCTGGCAGCGAGAGGGCTTAGTGGGTAAAAGTTCTTGTCATCGAGCTTGATGACCTGAGTTCAATCTCTAGGACCCACATGGTAGAAAGAAAGAATTGACTCCTGCAATTTGTCCTCTGACCTCTACAAGTTTGGCATGCCCCCACACAGAGTAAATAAATAATTGTAATAAAACATTAAAAGAGGAATATGCCAGGGTATTAGTATTGGAAGGGGAGTTACATGAAATCAGTCTGCTTCTATCTGCTGATTTATCCACTTTTTGCCTTAAGTTTGTATGGTTTCTGAAAATAAGGATAAAGTTATTACAAAGGCAGTTTTAAATAAAAAATAGTATCAGTTACTGAGTGTACAAAAGCTCTCCAAATGCCAGGAGCTTTATTTAAAGCCAAAAGAGGCAATGAAGTGTTATGGTTAAAAATACTCCAAGTGGAGCCAGGCTATGTGGGGTTCAAATCTGGGCCTCGCTGGGCGGTGGTGGCGCACGCCTTTAATCCCAGCACTCGGGAGGCAGAGGCAGGCAGATCTCTGTGAGTTCGAGGCCAGCCTGGTCTACAGCGCAAGATCCAGGAAAGGCGCAAAGCTACACAGAGAAACCCTGTCTCGAAAAACCAAAAAAAAAAAAAAAAAAAAAAAAAAAAAAAAAAAAAAAAAAAAATCTGGGCCTCACTACTTCCTGGTGTGTATTCTTGGGCAAGTCACTTAACCTCTCTGAATTTCGTTTTCGTTATGTCTGCAGAGGGTTGTTAATAGTTCCTAGCTCACAGACAGAGATGGATCTGTGTTTGGGGAGAGAAGTTAATTCTGAAGGTCTGAAGGACTCCTTTAAGAGAAAGAATATGAAATTATGACTACAAATGAGACGCTAAAGTAGCCTTTCATTTGCAAAAGTATGTGTAACAAAATGCACAATTTGTCAACAGGACACTCACCCTAAATGACCAGCTTTCAGGGCTTGCTGTAAGAAAGGCTTCTCAAACCTCTATCAGTGCCTAAATAATATGATGTGAAACAGTGCTTACTTCATATCCCCAAGGCTGCGTTTGATTCCTAGCACCACATAATAATAATAACAACAACTATAACATCCATAATAAACATTTTATTTATTTATTTTCACACTTATTTGTGCACCTGTGTGTGTGTGTGTGTGTGTATCAGAAGAAAACTTGCATGTATCAGTTTTCTTCCAGGGATCAAACTCTGAGAAGCCATTTCACCAGCCCAGTAATAAATATTTTAAACAGTAATAAGTGCATTCATTCTACGCTGCTGTGGGTTTTATGAGTATGGAGCCAATCCCAGGCAAAACATTTGCATAGAGTAAGCAGTAAGATTTTATGTGTGTGTGTGGTTAAATCCACAGATGCCACACCAAGGTCTCAGTGAAGCTGATCTACAAAGGACTGCCATCCAGGAGAGGCCATCCATGAGGAGGTGGGCTCTTGGGCACATATATGCAAATCACAGAGCTCAGGAGTGCCGAGTCCCAAAGCTAGGGCTCCCAATGAAACTTGCAGACTGATAATTTCATCTGATGCTTCTGACACAGATTCTGCTCAGCACATGTTGGTCCTAAATGTCCGTCCTGGTGATCCATGTCCAAACTTCCCAAATAGTAAACTCCTCATGAAGTTGCACCCATTACCATATCTTTACAGTTGAATACAGACAGCTATTTCTTTTAGCTTCCTAATAAGTGAAGCCAGTACAAGAGCAGCAGGCTGCAGGCCTCGCCATAATGCCTCCCTTATGTACGGGGTGTGGTTTCTGAGATGGAACTGTAGGACTGAATGGGGAAGAGATGTTGTAGGAGACGTTCCAGAGATGTGCTCACTCCCACATCAGCCATCTCTCATGTCTTGAGGGCAGAAAGGAAGGGTGGGGGCTGCCTGAGGCTGGGTGATGAAATGTATGTGACTTGTGTTCCTAACTCAGATGTGAAGAATTTTTGTTTAATGTGCCGTCTGAATTCAATCAGCAATGCCAGCACAGCTGCTGTGTCCAAGGCTAGTTTAGAAGGAAAAGGCACGGGATGCCCCGAAAGTTTTATGGAGCTGGGAAGATGAGCGTGTCCTAAACCGCTCATTCTTTTCTCCCCCCCTCCTCTGGTCTTCTGTGTATGTATATGTATGCACAAACGTATGTAGGTGCACATGTTGCTATATGTACATATGTATGGAGGCCAAAGGACAACTGTGGGTATTGTTCTTCAGGTACAGTGTCTAACTTTTTTATTTTTTGAGATTTAATTAGTTTTACTTTGTGTGTGTGAGTGTGTGC